AGTATACAGTGCAGCGATCTAATGAGGGTTCTCCGGGTGTCACGGCGGAGCTGTGTAATTCTCTTATCGTACGTACTTTCTCGAATCGGTTAGATTCGCAGCGTCGACCGTGTCCGCGGATGCTGACTGAACGGGAGGCAGAATCGAGGAAGACGACGACGAAGGATTTCCGTTGAGGGTGTCGTCGACCAAAGCAGACTCCGCAACACCCTCGCTGCGGTACCTGAATCAGCACGTCGTCGTGCGCATTACTTTAAGGGATCGATCGTCGATGACCACGGTAGTGGTGGTGGTGGTGATGGTGATTTCTCTGTCACGTTTTTCCCTATCACGTCGATAGGATCACCAGGTTCGAAGAGGTCGAGTCACGGGTTGATAGGTCGTCGTTGGTCGGTGTATTATTATGCAAATGCGTCCCTGTATCGCGTTTCGCGATCAACGACGGGAGGGAGAGGAAGAGGAAAGAGGGAGGGTTAGCATGAGTTTCTTGCAGGATGTTTTTCTCGGTAGGTTTCCAGGACAGAAGTCGAACGAAATCGGGCGTAGTCGGTTTTCGGCAGGCGCTGGTCGCTCGCTGTGCTCACATTATCATATTGATACGATCATTACAAAGTCATGAATCCGGGGTAATTATGATCGGGGGCGGATAACTGTTCGCCGACAGCATTTTGCATAATTAAACTTCGATTTAGTACCCATTTAACCGATATTTTTGGCGAGTCAGCCGGGACGTTAATATACGCGGCGCAAATAGATTTCACCCGGAATTCTATTTTACGGTCTGTAAATAAATATCTGTAAATAAATCGTCATCTCGGTTCCAGAGAACGCAGCTTGGCCTCGTACGTTGATCTAGCACTGAGAACTCAATTTTCACCGAAATTCCACCGGGGACGACGAAATTTTCGCCAGGGGAATCTCGCTTGGAGATCGACGTCGTTTCCTCGAAACTGGCGCGATCTTCACTCCAAACTTCAATCTGAATTTCTCTTTCCTTTGTCTCGAAAGTCACCGTCGCAACCCAAGTCACTTCACACTGCCTCTCCTTTTTTCACAAAGTTACGTTTAAACGATCTAGAGAATCTGTCTGCGAGTGTCGTCTCGATCGAGAGGCAGAGATGTAAGTGAGTGGGTATCAATCGGTATCGGTGGGTATCAATTTCCCAACGAGCCAGCTTCGACGGCTTAAAGGCGAGCTCGATTGACCGCCGTGACTTGTGCGCGCCACGGTGGCTGGAAATTACCGCGGCTGCAAGGAAGTGCCATTTTAATTAACGATCGAGGAACGGAGCCAGGCACCGACGTGGTTAGTACAGGGTCGCTAACCATGTCGAAGTAATTAGGGGATTAGCCAGAGCGGTTTGCCGACCAACGTTGCTCGCCTTTCCCGAGCGTCGTTCGGCCCAGTCTTCGCCGTCTCCTTCAAACTCTAATCGATCAACTTTTAATCCTCGATCGCCATCACGGATTTCACGAGCGTAAGCTTTGGCGCAGCTTTCGCGCAACTTTCTTGGCGAACGTCCCCCGGCAACTTTTATCCGACGCTTTATTATTTATTCCGCGATGCTTTCATAACTTAGGTCGATCCTCGCGTTCGAAGTGGAGACTTTAATTAATTTTTTATCTCGAGGTGAACTGAACCTACGGACATGATCCCGCGACTTAACGATTTATCTCGTCTCATCGGAGATGATGCGTTATTTTCAATCGAAATTCGAACGATTACGAAGATTTGCCTGTTTCGGAGGATCTGCCGTGGAAATAGATTTCTCTATGAGAGGAACACGTAGTCTCGGTGTAAATCGAGAATAGACTTTGACGTCTGCCTGCCGAATGATTTATCACGCGCGACTGGAACTAGCTGGAGCGATTTCTTCTTCCATCGATGCATTTTCTTCTCGCGGGGCTGTGACACCTTACGAAGCGTCTGCAATATCTTCTTGCAACAGCGAGCGCGATCTTCAATACGTATGTTCTTGCCTTCTGGCATGGATCACGGTTATCCATCACTATCCCGAGAAAAGTGGAGTCTTCGATCTTTTGAAATACGACGTTGATGCACTTCTTCTTCTTGCTACCGAAAGCTGACGATGGCCGGATCCGGAACCGTTCTCTTCCAATCTTTCCTATTCATAATCCATTTACTCGGACGAGTTTCACCGTTCGCAACGAACCCTCATCGATGGAAAAATATTTGTGTCCATGACCGAGCTGAAAACGGCGATATCTCGCTGATTTCACGACAGGAATAACAGCTCTTATCAGAAGTCAATAGGTTATTAATTCTCTGAAGCGTATCAAGATCATCCGAGGGAATCCTCGATCCCCCTTTTGACAGCCAGAAACTCGATCCTTTATCAGGGCCGGGTGACCCGGGTCACCCTGAATGACGCTTATCCTCGTGCACCCTCGAGTTCGACCATATTTTAAGACCTGACGCGGACTGTCAGGGTCTTCTTTGGGCTCTGATATTAAATTTCCTCCGACGATGCAGCCTCGCGTGATGCATTCCTCTTTCTTTTTCTTTTTTCTTTTCTTCTTTTTTTTTTTTTT